TTGGAGATTTTCGGTACTTCCCTGGGTATAAGAGTATCATAGTGCTTGTCACACAATATTACAAATTCATGCATTTGGTTGGCATAGAAAGTTCTCAATTAATAACTGTAAAAGTGCATCTCGAACACTAAGTTGAGAGCCGGAAAAACGCTTGCTAAAGAAGAGTGAAAACAATAGAAGAAGAGGAACCAATAACTTCAAAAGATTTGAGAAAACTTCAGGGATGCCTAAAAATCAGGACATATCGGAGATCTTAAGGGCAGTTCAATTAATGCAATGGAAATAGCAGGAAAATTAATGGAAAACTTCCGCAACGTTCCCAGAGGTTCATTAAAGTTATTGAAACGTTAGGGAAGTCACATGATCATATGGAAAATGTGAGAACATTTTGGGAAAAATTCCGTGTTTTTAATAGTAGATACAAGAACATAAAAAAATGCGGGGACTTCACTGAAGATCACAGAACATTTTATTAATTTCAAGGAAATAGAGAGAGTTTTTAAGAACTTCTGAAATCTCCGCAAGAAAGTATAAAGCAGTTCCAGGCAAAATGGCGAAAAACAAAACTGAATTTTCGACTCGACCTTCTCAGATTTGTATGAAACTGTGCGAATATGTTTGTTATGGGCAATGATTCATATTTTTGCTAACATTCCGCCATTTTGAATCTTTTTGAATTTTCAAAATAACGTTTTTCAAAAAATGGTAGCATTGGGACGCCATTTCTGAACAAAATGATATTTAGCACACAGTAGCAAAATAATGTTTTTCTGGGAAAAATACACAACAAATGTTTATTATTTATTATAAGTGAAAATTAAAAAAAAAACATTGAAAACCTCAATACCACAACATGTCTGTGCTCGACACATGATTTTTTTTTACTTCCAAGAAAAGCATATCACCCATGCAAATTTTTGGAATTGGCAAAACCATGGACTTTTTTAAACTGGCAAAAATCATTGAACAAGATTTTTTGAGCAAATTTGTGTATTTTTTCACTGAAAATGATTTAAAATTCTTCAAACATATTGTTGTTTAGTTTAAATTTCTTGAATTTTATTTAAAACATTTAAAAAAAAAAAGTTTTTTTCTTAATTTTAAAACACCATCATTTAAATAAACCAAACATCTGACAAGGACATTTAAAGATATTTAGGTCTTTACCATTGTTTTTTTATTTTTGCTTGCAATTGCTTAAATCTTTTTTTTTTGTTTTTTTCTTCAGAAAATCAAAATTTTTCATTACAACTTTGTCTCAGACGTTTTTAAGATCAGAAGTGCCATTTCCGTGCTACAGTATTTGAAAAATTTCAAAGGCTCAATTTTGCAAATTTTACAAGATCCAAAATGGCCAAAATTTAACAAAAATGTGAATCATTGCCCATAACAAACAATGGTGTAAAGTTTCATGCAAATCGCAGAAGGCCAAGTTTTTCCTATTCATCATTTGGCGTGCAACTGCTCTATAGAGATTTTAAAATGAGTTCTTAGATTATTAGATAGTCTAATTATATTCAGGGAAGTTCCAAGTACTTCATGGATAATCAGAAAACTTCAGAACAGTCCAATGAACTTCGGGAATATTTCTGAAACTTTACAGGAGTTTCGAGACATTATGGAATATTCCGGAAATTCCAGGCATGTTCCGAAAACATCAGGGACATTGGGGGATCGTCAGAGAAAATATATTAATGCAGGATAATTTTCGGAGCAATACAATATTTTGGGAACTTCAAGGAAGCACCGTAAACTTCAGGGAAGTTTGGAGGGAGACTAGGAGAACGTTACTAGAGCTTTAACAAAGTTTTTAAAACTTCAGAATAACAGTGGGAACTATTGTAAAATACTTTAAATTTTCTGCGATGTCGAGAGAACTTTAATGAAGTTCAGAGATCTTTCAGGCAGTTAAAATTACATTAGGAACAACATCAGAAAAGTCTAGACTTTTATGGAGGGATTATTGGATTAAGGAATTAGATCTGATAATTTATGGGCAGTTTCATCAATTTCAGGGAAATTTAGAGAATTTCGTTGAAAATAGAAGAGCTCGATACATTGATCTTTTAATTTTGTCAAACCTCTTAACGGAACCCCTTTATGAAGAGCTTTTTGAGTGTGTTGATTTATTTCCTTTTAGTTCCGTCATAATTGCTTATCTTTTGACAGATATGCGTATTACGTCTACTACTTGCAAACTGCAAGTAGTAGACGAAATACACGTATCTATCAAAATATAAGTAATTATAACTGAATTAAAAAGAAATAAATCAACACACTCAAAAAGCTCTTCATTCATAAATTAGTTAGCTTTAATTTCTGGAAAATTAAGAAAACCTTAAAGATGTTATGTGCTCAAATAACTCATGCAAAGTTATGAACTTTCAAGAAATCTTCGAGAAAACAGGAGTCCAGAGAACTTCGGAGACGTCATAGAAGAATCAGATTTTTTTATTTTGAAAATTCGAGAACTTCTGGGAAACTTCGACATTTGCAAAAAAGTTTCATCAACATCATAAAATTGCGCGGAAATTCTAAAATAAGTTGCGTAAGCTTCATGGGCAGTTTCTAAAGTTGAAGAAACTTCAGGGAAGATGATTGCAGTTCCATTAATTGCAGGAAAATATCGGGAAATTTGAAGATGGTTAGAAATTTTATAAAACGTCATAACATTTTTGAAAGCTGTAACTAGCTGATGCCCAACAGTTAACCCGACAGCTCAGCAGTAGCAAGAGACTCCTCGAACTGGGTCTCAGAGTCGGTTTACTACCAGATGATCAAGGGACGCGATAAAAAGTATGAAAACATTAAGAAATTTCACATTCTTTAAAACATGTAGGTATTGCCCTTTTCTGTGGCGTGTGGGTTTACAGATTTTGGCGTGTAAGCGAGGGCTTACAAAAACTAACAGTACTCACTGCTGCAGCGGGATCTTCTACGGCGTCGCGACGCTGGCGTTAGCACACAGGCTGCTCCTGCACTACTGTGTGGCCGGAAACTTGCGGGGCGGGTTGCAAACAGCGTTTCGTTGCTGGATTGGGTGAATGGCGGATAGCTTCAATCACGAACGGCTCAGCAGGCGTTGCTGGCTCGTTTGGCTAACAGGCGTCTTCCTTCCTTGGCAAAATCAGCTGACCGTGACATGGTTGAGCCGAGAAGGGACCCTCCCTATGATTAAGGCCAGTGGCTTGAGGGGATTGCCCGTCGATGGACGGAAAACTTCATTTTCTATTGGGCTTGGAAGCTATCACGACTTCCAAGCCGCCGTGTGAGATCGTTTATTAAAAAGGTACGAGATGTACAAAAGTACAAGGGTACAAGAGGTCCTGTGAAATTGCATACCATTCGATCTGGAAATATTCTACTAGAATAATTATTGTTTTACTTTTACCTGAACGGAGGAAGGCTTTCCATTTTGAGCCCCTAAAGGGGGGGCGGGGAAATCGTCAAATAATTACACTCCACTTTACTATTGATTCCGGTCTTAGCTACAAAGACGCCTGCAAATCTAAGATGGCCATCACCAATAAATTTAACCAATTCTCTTTTCAGCATATGCGCATCCATTTTAAGCTTTTTCTTCTTCTTCATTCCTTTATTTAATGTCGGTCTCTGTTCCACAATGTAGTGCCAATCACCGACGGACATCGATTGCCATCCATTGACGGCAATCGAATGTGCAGGATGGCAGCTTCCACACCTGGCTAGGATATCGCAACCATTCAACATACATGGGCCGGGACCAACGGCTTTACTTCTCTTCCGAAGGAAGACGTGACCAGAGCCTCAGAAAAATCCCATCGACCTCGGCTGGAATTGAACCCAGGCCCATTAGGGTGAGAAAGTAGTCACGTTTACCACTACACCACCGGTGCCGGCAATTTTTAGCTTAAGACTACGATTTTCCTGTTTTGGCAGCGGTTCTAACCCTCTCGCTGCTCTGTGTGCCTTCTGACTTTATTTTTAAAAAAAAAGTGAATTTTCGGCAAAACAACAAATCATACAAATAAAAATCTTAGGATTGGAACCAACTGGTTATAAAGCTCCACAGAGTTTAATTTATTATCTTCATGGCAGTACTAAAAGCGTATGAAAAATTTCAAGAATTCTAGGGAATATCCAAAAACTTCAGGGAAGATCGGAGAATCGTAGGACATTTCCATTAGTTTCAGGGAAATTACAGACAATTTAAAGAAGTTTCGAGAATCATGGGGAAATTTTTAAAACTTCAGGAACTTCCTTAGTTTCAGAAAACTATGTGGGAACTTTCCGAAAATCCAAAGAAGCTTAGAAAAGTCTAAATGTTTTAAGGGAAGATCCGTGAGCATCCGGGTAATTTGAAAGTTGTTCCATTTATTTCAGTAAAATTGTGGGAACTTTTAGAAGTTCTGAGAAGAAGAGTACAGTGAACTTCAGGAAAGTCAAGATAATATCGAGGAAGTCCTGAGGTACTTGGGGATATCCAGAGAATCTAATGAAAGAATCCGAGAACTTCTGGAAAATTCCATGATTTTCAGGGATGATCCTGGATGACAGGGGCCCTCATTACCGATGTCACTGCACTGTGAAGTGGCAACCTATAATTCACTATGAAGTGATTCCCATTTGATTTACACGGTAATCACTTCACCGTGAATGACACCTGGTCACTTTATTTCGTTTTCACCGTGAAGTGACACTATTAATAAGGGCCCCATTTTGACCTACGTTTTGGCAAATTTGAGTGAACGGTACTCAAATATGACTCAGATTCATTTGCCGTGCGGAGAAGGTCGCGTCAGATCGATTTGTAACTTGGCGTGGACTGCTCAAAGGGAAATGCAACAAAGTTTATAGAGTAAACAAAGGAACTCATGGTTTGCTATAAAGAAATTCACGTTCACAGATCACCGGCATCAGAGGACCGAAGGAACTGTGAGTCTTGTAATTTTCATTTTCTTTCGGATTCAAACATAAGACAACGCTGCTACAACACAAAATCCCTGGTAACTCTACTGACATCGGTTTATTGTTCAAAATGTTCCATTATAATTACACTTACATCGCTCTTTCTAATTTCCACAAACTATATATATATTATAATGCCACTTAGAAAACGAGTATATATTTACGAATATTTATGATTTCAGCACCGTTTCAATGCTGTCGATCTGCCACACTATTCCTAAATTGAATAAAATGAGACCTTTTATCTTGCACAACATCGAATAGTACGCACACGATAATATTTCCGCAGATTATTATGCACTAACACATTAAGTTAAAACTTTCAGTCTATCTAAAGCAAGATAACAGAAGACCTATTCGAGTACGGCACAGAGATGATGCTATCAACTAAATCGGAAATTTGCTTACAATCTAACTTTAATACTTGTTGCTTCTTTGATCCTAAATTTGCGTACAGATAATGGTGACTGCTCGTTATTATTTGGCGTTTGTTTAGTATAAAATTGTAAAATCGTTATAAGTAATGGTTTTTTTTTCTCTAATGGCTAGTGTGTTTGGAATGACTGGAACTGAGCATATAGGTTATGATTTTGGTTTTTTTTTTCGCAAGGTTAGTCTCCCCTTCTGTTTCAGGGGAAGGTGAGAGCAAATATCATTGGTTCATTTTCGTCGTTCGGTTAATACTTTTCCACGTGGTTTGGCGCATCACCATTCACCTGTTGCTTCTTGTTGTTAGCAAAATCGTCTTCGCCGTTCGTCATAGCCTTCGGAGGGATGTAGTAGAACCAAGCTCCGAAGAAGAACAGAATAGAACAGGCTTTCCCTACCAGGGCCAGTAGGAGCATGTACCTAAAATAATGCGACAATTAGATAAAATTTAACAGAAGAGATTTGTTAGGTTCAACTTACTTGCTCATAAACGCATTATCGTACACCAGACAAGCCCCGTGATCATCGCATGACTCCTGCCACAGGATACACGTTTCGTCAATCAGCCGACCGAAAATCATCGGGGCCGGAATCGTGCCCAGTACCCGAACCTTTATCCACTGTATCCCCAGCGCGAATGAACGCTGATCATCGTGAACACACCGGAGAGTAGCAGAGAGAGCCGGCATCGTTGCCAGGAAGGTGAAGAACATCACCAGGAAGCACAGTGCCACGAAAATCCACAGGTGGTTGCATTTCGAATCGCACATGGTATTCACCGCGTCGTACGCTGAGTACGGTTCAAATGCTCCGAACGTCGCATTGATACAGGTACAGTGCTTGTAGACCTTGGTGTTCCCCAGGGTAACTTCTTCGGTACATCCCGCGTGACATGGCGAATAGTACATCACCTCATCGGCACCGCAAACCGGTTCGTAGTTCATCTTGCTGCAGCTGCACTTGCTGTTGCATGCGTTGTCCAGGGTTTTCGGAAGGAAGAATAGCTCCGTAGCGCGGGCGTCCGGTGTGCGGAGGTTTTCCCGAGGAAAGTAGGGAACGGTGACACCGGCGAAGGTGAGATTCGGACAGGACAGGAAGAAGCAGATGGTGAACAGAGCTGCGAAAATGGTGGCAAATAGGCAGAAGCGGATGATTCCGGAACAGGAAAGGTTTAGCTTCTTGACGAGGTAGCCTCCGAGGAAGGTTCCACCGCCACCGGCCGGGACCGTGATGATGCCTGCAAATAAGGAATTCAGTTAATTTAACCCTTTGTCTTTCCTTGTGGTCAATTTGACCCTAGACAGGCTAGATTTTTTTTATTTGACAATGACATTGTCTTATTAATTCGTGATTAGGTGTGATTGAAATTTGTAATACTAGATAAAATCTGCTCCTAAATACTTGAAAAGTTATCTTTTGCATCAATTTTCATTAAAAAATTATTTGCCTGTACTGCCCTTTGCGACATAACAGTCCCATTAGCATTTTTGGCGAAAATGAGTAAAATATTGGAATAGCTTGTAAAGCCTACCATCACTTTACTTTGTTCAGAAAATGTTGCGAAAAATATCAAAACTATGTTGTCCCATCCCAGGTACATAGAGAAAAAATCTTCAATAGCGTTACATTCAAAGTGTCTTTATGTTACTTCATACACGAAGTTAGCGATTTTCAGAGTTGGTTGGAAATGCTAACATGAAGCTTCCCAGACAACCAGAAGTCGTATAACAATGTACAGACAGTATCGTAAATAACTACAGTTTAAGTCAAAATCGCATATAAGTATGACATACATCGCATTATGTTTAAGTAAAATCGTATAGAATGCAAATTTCCGACTTATATGCGATGAATCATTTTTCCATCGTACTATATCACAAATTCAATCGGATTACATCGTAAGGCTCTTCAAATTGAATTTGTTATTACAGATTAAATCGTATATAATGTCAAATCAACTAGTTTAAAAAGAAATTAAAATTTGCACGTATATGGCCTCCACTTTTGTAGGTATAGGCCCTTTTTTGCATTCTATACGATTTGTTTGTTTGTATATATCTTTGTATATCACAGAAACAAGTTTGAATATACGTGCATTCTGGTTGTCTGGGTTTAGTGTGATAATTTATTAGCTAGAGAATGATCTTTAGAAGAGGGTAGGTGGATAGTTCCGTTAGAGTACGGCAGTATGAAAATTGAATAGAAGTTGAAAATGAGCGAAGGGCCATTAATGCGACAGTTTTTAAAGTTAGATGCACATCTTTTGCCTAACCCGTACGATGTACGCGGAGACTTGAAGTATGTCTTCAAGTCTCCAGGCAAAAAATGTGCGTCCTCCTTTTGCTCATAAACTGACTGCGGCTGTGGCATAGTTCTAGCGACTTCAATAGCGTTTTTCTCAGCATGATGTTTGAACGAATGGGACAACTATACTGACATTGGGAGTGTATCCAGGGGCAAAATGAACCCAAATTCAAATTGCCGTTTCTTAGCGATGTTTCAATGGAGTTTTGAAATATCGAATGTTTTGCAAAGTAAATTTAGTGCAATTTATGTTAAAACTATTCAAATCATAATAGCGATCTTGTATTCTTGAACATCATTGCTCAAGAAATTAATATCCTACATGGTGATTATCTCGTGGTATACAGTACTTGTTCGCTAACTGGGCGTTCTTTAACTGGGCTGCTTTTTAACTAGGCGTTCGTTAACTGGCAGTTATACGTCAAAAATAGACGTCACATTTAGTTTGACATTTAGTTGTCATAATTGGTGAGGGGTTTTCGAATGGAATATTAATTTTTAATATACATAAATTTGAACTTATTTTCTTCATTTCACACTGAAATCAAGACTTGAAAGCGTAAAAAGCGTCAAAACTTTCTAAATTCGCAAGTTTGAATGCTGTGAAAATAACAATAACAAAACTTGCACTGTGTCAATTCAATGAACGTGGATTTTTTTAAACGTCCATCAAACAATTCATTGATGTTCCCCTCAGTGTTTTTTTGACGTTTGACAAGCCAGCCTAGTTAGCGAGGGGAATTCGCTTACTTGGCTGCGCTTTTAGCCCAGTTAGCGAACAAGTACTGTAAACATTAGGGTGCTCCGTTTTGAAAAATGTGTCAGATTTCTTATAGGTCATCCTCCACTTTGATTCATAACCTCAAAATATGAGTTTGTGCAAAAAATGGTAAAGATTGATGAAGATTTAGCGGTCCGCAAATGGTTTTAAGTTTATGTGGAGATTTTGGCGAATTACTATAGGAAATTTTTGAATTTCACTTACATAGCTCTAAGTTAGGCTCTAGTTGTCCAAAAGTTGAAGAAAAATAATATATGGTTACCAGCTAAGAGGAAGAGGAGATAATAGGGGGACTTTTATGAACCAATTTTCTGTCAAACGCGAACCAGCGCCTGATTGGTCGGACGAACGTATAGAAACGCGAGAATTTTTACAACACGGAATCTACACACTTAGTTTTTTTTTTACCGAGCTCGACTGTGCAAATCTCGGCAAAATAGGTTTCACTGAGATCTCAGCAAAAGTGACATTTGATTGCTGAGTCTCGGATAATGGTTAGCTGAATCTCAGCAAACAAATGAAATGATCTCAGTAAAACTTTTTGCCGACTTTTTTCGGTGACAAACAATATAATATAAAACGGTATCACTATTGAGTGTTGACGTTTTGCCAATGGTTGCTAAGATTTACTACTCGGTTCAATATTTTGTTTACTCACAAATGAAGTTAGTGTGAGAGTGTCATACATAAAACCTAGGATCATAAAACTGGTGATACTCCCCTCAAGAATTTAAAAACAACAAGCGTGTACCCACCGGTGTTGAGGATCTTTCGAAAAATTCTGTAAGTATTTTCTGAATCGTGAATCTCTTCAAACCTAGCAAAACTAAGTCCGTCTCTTCCGAATCACAGCACAAATCTAAGCGGATCGTGTTTTTATCTAGAACAGCTTCTATTCTGACCGGTTCTCGTCGGTACGGCTGAAATGGGTTACTTCTAGAGACGATTCGTTTTCGATGATGGAATAATTGTGAAAAAATTATTATTATTATTTATCTTTATTAGGGAGGCTTTCAGCCTTGGGCTGGTTAGCCTCCAAATTGTGAAAAAATGCCCGACCGTTGCCTTTGGTGGAACACCTTCGCTTTGCTGTTATGCGTACGAAAAGAACTACGAAAAAACTATGAGCATCGAGCTTGATAAATCCTCACATTCAGTATTGGAAAAGCTCGCCAAAACTCAATACGACTCGGGATTTCCTTGATGAACTTCGTGAAATATTGCAAAAATTTCCCAACGCTGCTCACATTCTCGCCCATGTGGTTTACCCAAAGGTCACCCATTGGAGGCGTTATTCCAGCATACAGTTCTTATTTTTGAACTTAGCATTTTATACGAAGCATACAACGAAGGATCAGAGCAGGATCTTCTGCGAGAGTTGAGGTGCATTAACAATTTTATTATGCTGAATGGACAACAAAGAAAACAAGCTTATCATAGGGTTGGCCAGATTTGAATCCCGGTCTTGCCGAGTATCTTCGGGACGGAAATTTTCACTTTTTCTCCTGTGTTTTCCTCGGATATTCTTGTCAGTCATTAGTCTCAATTGGCATGGACTTCGATGGCATGACCACAGGACTTTATAGGGATGACCATATAAGCTCTTGAATCAAGAATCGTCCACGTCTGTCATCTGTGTGGAGCTAAGGGGATTGGGCGGAATCTACTCGAGTTCTATAAAGCATGAAGCATGACAGATGTTCAGATGGAGATGTTTGATAGTTTTCATTGGTGGTACATTGCGGAAGGTACCTCAACTGCATCAGATCGTAGCTTGATAGGCTTGGTGGTGTGTAATTAGGAGGTGGTAGAAGGCATCATTATCAACAATACGATAGGCTTGGGTTATATCTTTTAGGACACGCACTTCTGAGTCGATCAGATGATTTAAAACTCGTTCAAAGGTGTTGCTCCTAGCGTGGGATTGCACTATCGCTCGTTCCAGTTCTGGGTTTACTTTAGTCGGGGAGGAATTTCGTTCTTAATCGATCGGGTTTCTCCTTTGTTTCTGTACACCTGCAAGGAATCAACAATTCAAAATGACATCGAGCCAGAATCTTGTGAAATTTGCTGATGGTTTTCAGTTCTTCTTCCACCTCTTGACCCGCTAACGCTCTAATGATAATGAAGCTGAATGCTTGCCGACCATCCATCAGAGAAATTGAGAATGTAAACACAATCACAAAAGTCATAACTTTGAGGATTGGCAAACTCATGGAATATTGACGCCTTGATAGGCACACTTTGATTGACCTTGACAGGCTCGTTCGGTACAGTGCTTGGCACAGCTTTCGGTTCAACTCAATTACACAGCACGAATTAATGTGTGCAGAGTTGAGTACCTCTAGTAGTCAACCATCAATTTACCATTGAATTGCTGCCAAACTGACCATCGCAACAACAGGCTTGTTGTTCATTGTTATAACAACCACATCGTGCGGTATGACATTGCATTCAAATGATCTAATATTTTGAGAAAATGATCACGACCTGATTTGGAATCGATTGAGCTGGGTGCAGCAAAATCAATAAATTGAACCACCCTGGTATGAATTTTTGTGAAAATTTTTAACCAAGTATTTTTCAAAAAATGTTCTACACGGTTAGAACAAATAAACTTAATGTAGGTTGATTTTTTCTAAGATAGGACTAAACCGGACAATCCAAAATATGGGTAAATTTTGTTTTGAATTAGTTTTATCAAATTTGGCTTAAATTTACCTGTATTTGGGTGTAAAAACTACCTACATTTAGGTTATCTGTTCTTAGCGTGTAGATCATTTTTTGGATCATTCATTGTAGTTAAAAAAAAAAATGCCGTCCAAGATTATAATATTGACTCTCATTTGGCTTAATAGCGACGTCTACTGATCTTCGGCCTTCAGTGGTAGGTAGTCTGTTTCAGCAATGGGGCCAAAATTGCATACTTGATGTCTGTTTTTGAGAAGGCAGATTGCCGCTACGATTCTTCATAAATGAATAAATCCTTAAATTACTCATGTCAGAACTCGACGAAACTTGCTCGAAAATAGTGAAATGTGTGCAGCATCGATTCATCTGACCTGCATTTTATGAAATTAATGTACATTTTCCTCTGGAATCCGGTAAGTTGCTTCCATATGAATGGGATTAGCATCCAGTGCTTCAAACAA